TGGTTTAATGACATAAATACATGTAATAGGAATAGTACACTTCAAACAAAAACAAAAAGGCAGGTTTTTGGCAGGTTCAAATAACATAGTTGGACAGAAGATTGATTACTTTGACCATGTATATAGTCTGCAACCCTCCAAACTATTTCAATGCTATTTTGATAATTATCTGCCTGTAAACCTTCTAAAGAACATCCTAAGCATTCTTAATTTGATTGTTTTTTGTCTATTCATTTATCTCTGGAATTTCACAAAATATAACATACTTCAAATCTGTGTGACTGACAAAACAGGGCATTTTATCAAGCTTCTTTGTTATTTACATACAGCTCTGTGATGTTTCAAACAAGTAACTGATGCTTCCTTGTAGTTTATATAATTCTTTCAGAGCTATACTCCACATATTGGACAAAAGATCAAAAGACTGCAACATAAATATAAAGGAACATTAAATTAAGGGAAAAGAAGCCCCAAGAGATGAAAGGAGTCAATGAGTAAGAGAATACAGCTAGGTTAAAGAAAGTTCCAAGCCATCCCTGATGACAAAATACTTTTTTGTCTTGATCTGTGATAGCAAAAGGAAAAGAAAGAAAAAGTTCTTATTATTTCTAAAGCAAATGTCATTATCCAATATAGAGACTTTATAGCAAATGTCAACTATGCACTTCAAAAAAGCAAAGAAATATAATGAGAAATTTTTACAAAACACTATATAATTCAGTGACTCTTCCTCTTATGGAGAAAAATGTGTAATACTAGTATGCATACTTTACCTATACATGGCAAACAATATTTTTTAAACATTACCAACACAGAAAACATAAATCATTAAATTAGCCAAGTCAAACAGCTAGAAAAAGACAAGAGAGTTGAAACTGACCTTCAGAATTTGTCAAACCATCTCCCTAAGATACAAGTTGCAAACTCTTAGATCCAAGAAAAAGCAATTATTTCATCATTACAGTTGGTAAGAGATTACTATTTTGGTTTTAGAAGGTGAAGAAAGGCGGAGGAAGAAAGTGATTTGGCGATTCTAGAGTTTTCTTTCAATTCCATTCCCAATGTACTCAGTGTTCGCTGTGTTAATGTCCACCAGTATACTTCAGTCATTTATTTTAGTGGCTTTATTCACTGCCAATAATATCACTAGCAAGGAAAGAATATTATAAAATTAAATTTTATATTTAAATCAGTAATTTTTCTTTTGATACCAACAGAATTTATAATCTTGTCAAAATTTCTCCAATAGCAAGATCAGGATTCTTCTTTCTGTAAGTATCTAACCTCTAAGTCAAGCCACCTTTCCAGTCAAATCAAAATTCAAAGGAAAGGTGCTAAGCACTATTCTCTTCAAAAAGAAACACAGGCCGGGCGCAATTGTCTATGCCTGCAATCCCAGCACTTTGGGAAGCCAGTCGGCAGACTTGTTTGAGCCTAGGAGTTGGAGACCAGCCTGCACAACATAGTGAGACTCCATTTCAAAGAAAAAGAAAAGAAAAAAAAAGAAACATATGCTTTTGTGTTTCTTATTTTACATTATTAAAAATATATTTTATAAAGACCAAGATTGAAGAGTTGACACCATTTGAGTAATATGAATACTACTTGTCACCCAAAAGCTAAAATTGTTTCGTATTACGTTATAGTTTTCATTATATTAAAATGGCATAGTTACTGTAACTTATACAAATTTACTATAGAATTAGCATCCTGTAATTCCAGATTAATATTAAATTTTAGAAGTACCAGGGTATGTAACAATGAAACATTCTAAATGTTATCTACTGCTTAAGACAAATTTTAACTGTATTTAAACATTAGGTGAAATATGCAACTCAGACTAAATCAGTGTACAGTAAGTAAAAACCAATGGTGTATAGATAAAGAGGGTATCATGTAAGCTGGTTAAAAAATTATAATGAAGAGAGAACTAGTAAGAATATAGCAACCTGGCTGAAATTGATATTCATTAGGGTACGCCTCACATCAATAGGTAACATTTGGACTCTGTGGTCTTTATCAGTGTCCCAGCTGGTAATGGTGGAAGGTTAATGCCTTACCCAATTCTGTTCAATTTTCTATCCTAATTAGCCCTCCAAATCTATAGCTGTGAGCACCAAGTGTCTGTGCTCAAAAGAAACTAATTAATGCTAGCAAATTAGATCAAGTCCAAAGATCCAACAGCCAAACTCTTAGTTAAATGCTCCTTGTTAACAGGAAGTGTAGCTGTCAATAACTGCTGTTGGTGACTATAATGAGGCATCTTTCTTTCATTGAAAGTGATTTCATTTCTCTTTGTCCCTGGAAAAGCTGTTCTATTCCCTTCACAAACCTACGTTGCTGGCAGTCTGACCCAATTCTTATCATCAGCTGGGTTGAAATGACATTAAAAAAAAAAAATCAAACAGAAAAGCTTTCCTACATAATCATGTTTTAGGCATTTAGCAGAAAGTCAGATTACTTCTTAAAATTCCTATATGTTTTATCTAAGAACCATACAATTGGCATACACAATGCTTTTATATAGAATCCTATAATTACTCAATAAAGCAAAGGCATAAAAAGTAAATAAACTACAATGGAAGTGTCCTGATTCTAAATAATGTCTTAGTTTAAATGTTTAGTTTAAATGAAGTTTTCTTCTGCTGCTTGAATAATTCTAATGCACATCATTTCCTAGTCTATATGGTTAAATAGGGAAAATACTAAAGACTCCTTATTCCCTTATCAATTTTAGATTCTAAAATACTGTTATGAATCACATGGCCTGAAGAACCGATATATAGTTATGTATAAGAGATTCAAATTATGTTATAACATACATTCTAATATAGATGAATACATTTAAATAATCCAATGAATCACAGATTTTAAGATGCTTTCTCTCTTCAGAAGACTTAAGTATATTTAAAAAAGCAAAAACTTAACTATGTCAACATCCTAAACAACTTTTGATGAAGTGAAAATTAAACACTTTATTTTCTGTATCATTATAAAACACTAGTTTTGTAACACGAATAAATATTTTTAAGTTATATTGTACTCTTTCATTTCAAAAAACAAAGTTTCATTGTCTAAGAGACAATGAAAGACAATTCTGAAACCCAAAGCCATACAATCATTCTTCAATTTCATTTGAATTGTATCAGTAAAAATTAAATCTATAATTGAGTTAGCTAGCTTTCTTTCATTCTAGGTATAAAGATAATATGCTACAAGACAGCATAAATACAACTTATCTGTGTAACTTTAGACTGTTGCACCAGTAATAAGTAAAGCTTCCTAGTAGTAAAAAGCCCTACAACTTTTTTATAGGGTTTTAAAGTTTTATCTCCCCTCACCTGAAACAGGATATTTATTTTTAAAGTTCTATGAGGAATGTGCAGGATATACCTCTTGTGACCATGAACATGAGCCCTGTCAATGCACTACCTGCAATTGTCAATAGGTTGACTTCTCAAGACAACTGGGGGTAGGTGTTAAAGAAAGTGGCTCTGTTAAACTAATTCACAGGAAAGCAAGAGTAAAACCATAGAATAATTATTTATATGAGTTTTAAAATGGAATCGGTCATAATAAGTTACTGAAGCAACAGAAATGACCATCACACATTTGTGAGTCCAAAGAACTACTCTTATTTTATTGCCTCCATTCATCAATTGTAAAGGTGCTAAGAGCAGAGGACAGGGAAAGAAAACAAAAGTGTTCCTAGTATCCAAATGTTATTGACCCAGTCCTGAATTAGAGTTGACACAGCAAGCCCTGCTCCCCTATAGAGATGCTTGCAGTGGAAGTGCAACTCAGCATCCTCACTAAAAATTATTGTGGTCCCGGCCGGGAGCGGTGGCTCACGCCTGTAATCCCAGCACTTTGGGAGGCCAAGGCGGGTGGATCATGAGGTCAAGAGATCGAGACCATCCTGGTCAACATAGTGAAACCCCATCTCTACTAAAAATACAAAAACTTAGCTGGGCATGGTGACACGTGCCTGTAATCCCAGCTACCCGGGAGGCTGAGGCAGGAGAGTTGCCTGATCCCAGGAGGCGGAGGTTGCAGTGAGCAGAGATCGCGCCATTGCACTCCAGCCTGGGTGACAAGAGTAAAACTCTGTGTCAAAAAAAAAAAAAATTACTGTGGTCCCTCAATAAAGATGACCACAGGGAAAGTGAAGAAGTAAAACCAGGAAAATAGCCTATGTCAGTAAAATTTTATTACTTCTTTTGAGGGCCATTCCAAGAGGTAGAATTTTTTTAAAAACATTTCTACAGTAATATTGCCATCTGCTTGTCTAATAACTCATCATTTACAAATGTATTATGGCCTCATTTTTCACCTTTAACTGCTTTGTTTACATGTTTCACCAGAATGTCACATATTAATCACTAATGTCTCTAGATTTATAGAATGCAGGAGTATTTCCTGTTAAAAACATTTTCCAAAGAAAACTTAAATGTGTAGCTCTCTAGTATATGTATTTACATAAATATCTTCCACTTGGAAACACAAAACAAAAACTCCACATTCACTGTAAGTCCTATTGGTATTCTATTAACAATACAGTAACAGACAATGACGCCAAAGAAAATAACCTTAGAATACACTCACACACACACACACACACACACACACACACACAAATACATGAATAAGGTGACAGCTGGAAAACGGGTATATGTTAGATTTGATGTTTCTTCCCTATAAAAATCAGAATAACTTGCTTCTGCAAATTACTCATACCAAGTTTTTCTAAGTATATAACTGTACTTCTGACGGTTAAAAAAATGTTTTTTACTAGTAATCTGGAAAAATATTTTTAAGCTGTAAATGAATTAAAGATCATTGGAAGTTCTGAAAGCTGAAATAACTGGTATTTCAGTGAAAGGGTGAGAAGCAATTCATACATATTAATTCATTGACTACTTGATTCTGGGGCTAAAGATTAAATTCAGATTGTATTATTAAAAATAAATTTGATCTTCACATGAATATTTGAATCTTACCTTGAATTTGTTCGGAACACCTCTCTCTGGCCTTTTCTCTCATTTTTTTAGGGATCAAAACATCTTTTTCGACATGTCTGAGATGCTGCTCTGAAAAAAAAAAGTCTTTCTTTAATAAAGTCTCAAGCAAATCACCAGATTAAAAGAAAAATAAGACTCTGGTTTACTTAAAATAAAAACCTATGCAAATATACTCAAAACTTACGACCTTATGAAATTGTGCTTATTTTAGTCCTTGAAAATCACCCTATTTTCAATGATTTTTAAAATAAACAACAACAAAAATGTGAGGAACATGAGTAACATATCCCTTAAAATTTCTGCAAACTACACTGCAACATTTTTACTTTATAACATATTCCATGCAGTCGTGTCTAAGTTAGCATCTAAATCATCATTCCTTTATTAATATAATCCACAAAAAGAGGATTTTCATTAATACTGAGATCCAAGAATAGATGAAGAGATAAAAGATTAAGAGACACACAAGTTGTTTTGCTACCTAGTAACAGAATAGCCTAAAAAAGAACTGGCAGAAGAAAAAGTGGAACTACAAGTCTATATACAAAACAAAGCGTGTGTGATTTCTATGCATTTTAAACACAACTTCCACAATTAGACTAAAATGGCAAATTGAACACCTGCTCTAGAGTTCCACCTGCTCCTTAAATGCTAAGAGAGTCCTGAAAAATAAACATGGGGTAAGTGTCTTCAGTGAACCAAAATGATGAGGAATCTCTGAAACAAAAAAGGCAGATTAGGTCAGGTTAAATGAGGTAATCATATTCCTATAGAGTATCCAGGGAAAAACACATGCCAAAAGTGGGTGCTGCTCCATCCTCTGAAGCAGCAAATATGGAAAGCAAGAAAACTTCTCGAGAGGAAACTAAACAGTTATTAATTAAAGTGACTCGGTAGGAACCAAATGGTCAACTCCTCTGCTGCCTTTGGGCCATGGGTGAAAAAGGATATACAGGTATTTACCTCCAAAAGACCAGAAAGTTTCCCATTAAAAGAGAACAGTAAAGAAGATTTTAGATTATTGTTAAGTATAATAAATATACTGAGGCAAAAACAAAGACATGAGTCCTCAGACAGCAATGGACCATGGATTACCTAAATGCACTTTGGTGAAATGTCTGAAACCCCAACATCCTAAAAGCTTCAAAAGGGAATAAACACTGCCCACAAAAAGGAATTGGAATCAGATTTACATCATAGCTCACTGGCAAGACATGGACAATGGAGAAATAACTCTCTCCAACAAGCCCTCTCTCCAACAAGACAATGGAGAAATAACTTCAAACCAAGTTCTGAGATAAAATTACTTTTTAAAGAATTCCACAGTCTCTAAACTACCAATTATGAGTGAAGTTAAGGACATTTTCAGATATACAGGAACTAAAATGTTTACCACTTTCAAACCCTACAAAAAAAGAAGTAATCGCCTTACTACAGTTGATCCTTGAACAACATGGGTTTGAACTGTGGGGGTCCACTTAATACTCAGATTTTGTCTAACCAAATGCAGAACCAAATGCCGACTGAAAATGCAATATTTTGGGGATGCAAACCTATATGGGATAGAGAGGGCTGACTTTTAACACACATGGGTTCTGAGGGGCCCATGGGCGGGACTTGAGAATGCACAGGTTTTGGTAAATAATGGGGCTCCTGCAACCAATCCCCTGGGTATACTGAGAAATGACTACGATGTGCAACAACCACTAATCAAATTTAGTGATGTGGAACAATAAACATTTTATTGTGATTAGGGTTACTATGGGTCTGAGGGGCCTGATCTGGGAAGACTCAAAGTTCTGGTGGTTCTGGTCTTGATTTCTACAGCTACAAATGCTGGGGCTTTTGTAGCTGTAGATTTGCTTACTTCCAAAATAATTTACTTAAAAAATTCTTTCTTTCTTTATATATATATATCTGACATTTGCCTGGAATGGCCAAAAGAAGTGCTCAGTTAAAACTGTAAACCAGTACATCTCCCAGTGGCCTCTCAACCTAGAGCCACTCAACACCATTTGTTCATCTTGCACTATACTAAATCATTAACGATAGCCCACACTCAGGTGGAAGGAAATCAGACTCCATTATTGGTGACAAAACCACATTACAGAAAACTATGAAGGATGGGAGATAATTTTGTACCCTTCTTTGTAAAATAAAATCTGTCACATGAGGTAACAATATGCTCTGATAGAAAAAAAAATGAACCCATGATATGCAAATGTAAAACATATAACTCATATTAGAAAAACATAACTTAAATCTGTCAAAACTGTGAAGTACTTGAACAACATTATCAACTAACTTAACCTTACTAACGTTTACAGAATACCCAATAACAGCAGAACATCTATGAAAATAAACCATACAAACTATGCTTCCTGATACCAATGTAATTAAATTAGTAACAAATACTAGAAAGATCTCTGGATAATTTTCAAATATGTGTAAGCTAAATAACACACTTTTAAATAACCCATGGATCTAAGAAAATATCAAAAAAGAAATTAGAAAGTATTTTGATATGAATGAAAATAAAAATGCAATATATCAAAATGTATGTGTTATAGCTAAAATGGTATTTGGCAGGAAATTTGTAGCACTAAAATCCTATCTAGAAAAGAAAAAAAGGTTTTACATCAACTTAAGTTTATACCTTCAGAAACCAGATAAAGGATAAAATAAACACAAAGCAAGCAAAAGAGGAAATGATAAATACCGAAATATAAATCAATGAAATAAAGAATAGCAAATGAAAGTAAAAAGGAATGAAATTTAATCTGGTTCTTTGAGAGGATCAGATCAATAAAATGTATAAACCACTTGCCAAACTAATCAGAAAAAAAGGTCACAAATTTCAAAAATCAGAAACAATAAACATTTTTAAATGATAAGGGTGATATTATTAACAAATTTAGGCCAGTGAACTTGACAACTAAAATGAAATGAATGAATTCCTTTAAAAAAACACAAAACAACCAAAGCCCACTCAAGGAGACCTTTATACCAAAAGCAAGAATGCTATTTACAAAGCATATACACATACACACAAAACCCACAGACCACTATGCCTCATGAACACAGATGCAAAAATTCCCAACGGAGTATTAAGAAATCAAACCCAGCAGTACATAAAAAGAAAGATACATAAAAACAAAGTTGGATTTATTTCAGGGAGAAAAGGGTGGTTCACCATTTGAAATTCAACCAATGTAATCCATCAGATATATTAATAGTCTAAAAAAGGAAAACCATATAATCATATCAATTGATGCCAAAAACACTGGACAAAATTCTACATGCATTCATAAAAAACACAATTCAGTACACGTGGAACAGAAGGGAACTTCTTAAATGAAGGGTATCTACAAAAAGCTATAGCTTACATCATACTTAACAGTAAAACTCTGAACACTTTCCCTATAAAAAGAGAAACATGGTATAACATTATATAGAACTACATACACACACATATGAGTACATGTAGAAACTGGTGAAAACTGAAAAGGTCTATAATCTAGTTAACAGTATTGCACCAAACTTCAGTTTACTGGTTTTGATATTATAGTACAGTTAGATGTCTCCACTGAGAAAAACTACAAGAAGGACACTCAAGACTATATAGTATTTTTCACAATTTTATGTGAGTCTATAATTATTTCAAAATAAAAAGTTAAAAAAAACTTCTAGAAAACAATCACAGGAGAAAATCATCATGATCCAGATGTCATATAACTCCAGAAAAAAAAAAAAAAGTACATGTAAAAACTGGTGAAATTCCAGTAAGATTAATACCTGAATCAAAGATATTATACCAATGCCCATTCCCACTTTCCTTGTTCACAACTAATTATAGAAGTCTGTCCTAACCTTTTTTCATTTTTGCCCTAAAAGGTGACTTTTCTAACTTTTTTAATCCTAATGTCCCTATAAAATTTTAATACTGCAGATATATATGTTTATGGACTACAGGTATAACAGTGCTTTATATATTAAAAGACTAAGATTTTTGTCTCCACCAATGTCAATTTTTATCGTTTTGAAGACAATTATACCCATTGGGAATACACATATCATGATTATGTAAGACAGCATCATTAGGGAAAGCTGGGAAGACAGTAGGTACATGGAAACTGTACAATTTTGCCATTTTCTATTATTATTATATTATTACAAAATAAAGTTATAATAAAATAAGTGAAAAAAATGTATAAGGAAGAACAAAGGTCATAGACTAGCCAAAACAACACTAAAACAGAACAAATTTAGATGCTTTGCAGCAACTACCTGATTACAAGCCATACAACAAAGCTACAGAAGTCAAGACGATGTAGTGTTGGCATAATTCAAGTAAGCAAAAAGAGTAATGTAACACAAGAGAACAAAAGGATCCAGAAATACTTCCATATATACACAATCAGTTTACTGACAAATGCACCAAGGCTAGTTAAGTTAATGAATAAGTATTTTGACAAATGGTGGCAGAACTGTACTAACAACAACAAAAAAACCTAAACCCTTTGACCCCCCTACTTCACGGTAATCACAAAAATTAAATGGCCATGGATCATAAACCTAACGTAAAAACTAAAACTATTAAACAAAAAAGACCCTTCAATTCCTTGGAGTAGACCGTGTCTTAAAGAGAATACAAGGCCACTGTGGGAGGCCGAGGCGGGTGGATCACGAGGTCGGCAGATCGAGACCATCCTGGTCAACACGGTGAAACCCCGTCTCTACTAAAAACTACAAAAAATTAGCTGGGCACGGTGGCGTGTGCCTGTAATCCCAGCTACTCAGGAGGCTGAGGCAGGAGAATTGCCTGAACCCAGGGGGCAGAGGTTGCGGTGAGCCGAGATCGCGCCATTGCACTCCAGCCTGGGTAACAAGAGTGGAACTCCGTCTCAAAAAAAAAAAAAAAAAAAGAGAATGCAAGGCACCAAAAAGAAATTTTACAAATTATAAATTTGACGTCACCAAATATAAAATGATTTGCCCATCAAAAGATATAATTAACAAAATTAAAAGGCATGCCATAGACCAGGAGAAAAAAATTCACTTCATATTCA